GTCTCATAAAAAAATCCCCAACTTTAGGTTCAGTCTTAATTCTACCATAAACTTTTTTGTCTCATAAAAAACCCTCAACTTTAGATTCAATATCAATTTTACCTTAAACTCTTTTTTTTTTGTCTTATAAAAAAATCCCAACTTTAGGTCTGGTTTCAATTTCACTTTAATTGTTTTTTTTTTTTTTTGGTAACCCAGGGAACCCCCGTACGGCCGACAGCCGGGAGGTAAACCCTGGGGGCGACACGTGCTAGCCACCACACACGTGCACCGGTTAAGTCACCCTGCGGCGCCCGGGATTCGAACACCCAACCTTTTGCGAGAGGAAGAGTGCCCTTTCCAGCAGCGCCACCCAGGCGGGTGGTCTTTATCTCATAAAAGATCACAAACTTTTACTTGAATCCCAAATATGTTCTGCATTAACCCTTCATCAAAATCTCCATTAGTGATTTTGCGCTCATTGATATCTCGTGCTTGGGAATATTTCATCTCTCGCGGTTGGAGAGCTCGCGCTCGAAATACTCAAATAGTTCGTGCTTTGGAGTTTTTCATTTCTCGGTTGTCAACGATAAATTTTGGACAGAGGGTTAATGAGGGACATTCGTGTGATTTTCAAGAGAATCATTAAAAAGAAGAAGTAAACTGACAATTTCTCTTGTTAATCACACATAATGAGACAATTCATTATTTATCAAATCTACTGTAAAATCATGGAATTTTCTTCAAAGTGAAATTGAAAGACACTCGTATGAGAAAAGGGTAACAATAACATAAAATTGAAAAGTAACATACATGGAGAGAGAGAGAGAGTTTATATTGGAATGAGGTAGATGGGTGGGTGGTTAATAAATGTGTTGGAGATGAGCGAGTAAAGACCACCAAACTTCATTAAAAGGTAAAGAAATCGGTACGTGATTTATTGGTATATAGGGGAGGGCTAAGGTCACTTGATTGATGGGATTAGTGAAGATTAAAAAACGTTTAGAGAGTTTAGGGTTGGCATATTACTTTGACGATCGAGAATTGTTCTCGCTCGGGCTACGATAACTAATGAAACTCCCTAAGAAAAAAAGAAGAAACATATTTTTAAGTCATACCGTGGTCGTAATGACGTATATTTTGTTGTAATTTTAACATGAAATCATCGTATCAAAACAAACTTGGAGACGCTCTTAATCGACTATTAAGATTTTTTTTTTTTGACGATTCGAATATCCATCAACCCACTCACGAAGGGTTTCTTGATGACAATAGAAGGGCTTTCATTATGTCCTTAAACATATTATTTCTCACCGGCGAGCTTTCGAACTACTAGCCTAGGGATTAAAGCTTGACCAGAGTTTCAATGGCGTACGTCCCCTCTCTCTCTCTCTCTCTCTCTCTCTCTCTCTCTCTCTCTACCTCTCTCTCTGTCTAAAACGCAGAGGAAGAAAGCTCCCTCGGCATCGTCCACCGCCGCTGCACGTCGCCTAATTCCCGTCCGTCGCTGGTCCTAAAATCCTCGACCGGCAGTTGTTTTTTTTTTTTTTTTGGCCTAACCGGCGACTCGTCAGGCTCCTTCAGTCGCTTCTTATCTAGCTGTTCGTACCTCCGTTGCATCCATTCGACCTTTTTTACCGCTTGGCCTGAGATGAACACTCTCAGAGAAGGGATGGCGGGATTTGCTTCCATGCAGTTACATCAGGACAGGCCTGGCGCTGAAACCCAAAAAAAAGAAAAGAAAAAGTGATGTCGATAGTTAGCCACGGCTGGAGGAGTCGAGTTGCTTTTCTGGCCCTTGGCCGGTCACGTAGCCATTATCAAAGCTTCGTACGTGTCGTGTCAACCTCGCACCGATCCAGAGGGCGGTACGACTCCATGCACGCGCAGTGATGGCCGAGGGGACCCAACTCGCCCGCGTGGTCCTATCCGTCGTTTAGGCTTCCCGCATGGGAACGCCAATATTAAGTAGGGACACGGAGAGATCCGCTTTCGATGGGAGATGGAGGACCCGCTGCAACGGAGGCTTGGGTGCACAACCAAAGTATAATTTATATATCGAGTCCCAAATCTGTACAAATTATTTTGCGAATAGCAGCAACAACGGCCTAATTCCAAAACAAAAAATGGAAGAGCTACAGATTTTACCTTGAGCATCTATTCTGGCCCGAACTTTTATTTCGTCTCATAAAAAATTATCAATTTTTACTTAAATCTCAAATTTGACCCGGATAATTTTAAAATTTCATATCACTTTGAGCTAGATTTAGGACTCGAGTAAAATTTAGTATTTTTTATTGAGATAAAAAAAAGTTCGGATCAGAATTGTCACTCAAGATAAAATTTGTGCTTTTTTTTTTGGAATTAGCCAGCAATAACTATTCTAAAAAAAAAGTAACCTACAAATTCGTTAACAAAAATGGTGTTAACCGTTGGTAAAATATACTTACCCATATAATCCAAAATTTAGTCATCGTGCAAGTATAAATATTGTAGCGTGCAAGTATAATAATAGGGTATGAATAGCTCTATATCAAATTCTACCTATAAAAGGAGGAAGCTTCATTATGAATATAATCATTTTTGCTTGGGAAAAAGGTAAAAAGAAAATGAAGCTTGAAGGTCTGCAATTTAATTCGATCTAGGGTCACTCAATTTTTCCCCGAATTTTACACATAATGAATCTTTCAGAGAACAAATTTAGGTAGCAACCATAGTAATGAAGAAAAGTAACAGTTTTTTTCTTTCTAGTGAGTGTTTTATCGAGTGTTTATGGACACTTGTTGAGCAATCTACTACATAATTTTTTGAGCTTTCAATGCATTGAGCTTTCATGTTACGTTGAATAATGTTGAGACCCATATGGTCAATGATTAAGGTGGTATTCGGTTTACATAAACTAAAATTATGTGATAACTGCTCCTTTATTTGATAACAGGATGGGGTTCATAAGGCTGCATCAATGAAACCATGATGCCATATGATCCACGTGATTCATGATGGAGGTGGATGGGTGCATTTTGAGAATTTGTGTGATGTGAGTGGTGAGAGAGAACTGATTGAACAATAATAGAGCAGGAGTTTCGGGGTTGGGTTGGAGACGGGGCCCACTTCTTTACTTTCTGAGCCTTTGGTGGCTTCAATGATGCCAAGACTTGTTGGTCCCACGTCCAACCAACTTGCTTCCGAGAAATTAAGGAAAAATAAATGAAATTCAAATTCAAATGAGACGAGATGAAACGCAACGACAGCTTCTTCCGAGAAAGAAAGCACTCCAGTGCTTGAAAAGTCTTTGGTTCACACCATCATTTGATGCTGTTGTCCTGGAAATTAGAACTTGTGTTTCCTCTCCGCTCAGTACACTTTGTTTCGAACCATACGCGCACTCTCGTTTAATTCTTTGCTGCTCCCGAACCAAGCCATGCCCATCGCAGAGCTCTTTCTTGGGGCCTTTCTTCAAGTGCTGTTTGATAGGTTGGCCTCTCGCGAGCTTCTCAACTTTGCGCGGCACGAGGGTATCGATAAGCTGCTGAAGAAATGGGGGCAGAGGCTGATCAGGATTGACCACGTGCTGGATGATGCAGAGGACAGGCAACTGAACGGCGATCCAGAGGTGAAGTCGTGGCTCGAAGATCTCAGGAACTTGGCCTACGACATTGACGACTTGCTTGATGAGTTCGCCACAAAATCCGCGAAGAACGAGTCCAAGGCGGAACCCGGTTGTAGCAAGGTGCAATCTCTTCTTCCGAATTATTGCTTCAGATTTAGTCCATGTGCATTTATGTTCGACTGCAAAATGAGATCCAAGATCGAAGAGATGGATAGAAGATTGCAGGAGATCATAACTCTTAAAGATGATCTGAGCCTGAGAGAGAATAATGGGCAACGATCAGCATACAGCCAACTGGATAGGCGGCCTCCCGCTACGGATGGGACCGAGCCTTGTTTTGTTAGTAGGGAGGATGAAAAAAGGCAGATCCTCGAATGGCTGACCCGAATCGAGGACAATAGAACATGTGTGGATCCAGAAGTAATTGCCATCGTAGGGATGGGGGGTGTTGGGAAGACGGCTCTAGCTCAGCGAGTCTACCATGATACTAGTCTCACCTATGATGAGAAAGCATGGGCCTGTGTTTCCGATAATTTCGATTTGCTTTCTATTACAAAGAGTATCCTGGAGATGACCAACCGCCGTTTGTCCTGTGAAAGGTAAAACCCTGAATTGGCTTCAAGATGAGCTCAAGAAAAACCTTTCGGGGAAGAAGTTTCTTGTCGTATTAGACGATATTTGGAATGAGAATTATGACAACTGGACAACCCTCTTGAAGCCTTTTCAATCTGGAGAGAAGGGAAGCAAGATCATTATCACAACTCGTCACCTCGACATTGCTTTAATGGCCCGTGCTCGACCGATAACTCTCAAAGTGCTATCACCAGATGCTTGTATGACTTTGTTTGCATTTCATGCTCTTGGAGACCGAAATTTCGATGGTCGTACCGATCTTGAAGTATTAGGCCGGAAAATAGTAGAAAAATGCAAAGGTTTGCCATTAGCCGTGAAGGCATTGGCCGGGCTGCTACGTGCTAAAGTCAGTCCCCGTGAATGGGAAGCTGTATTGAATAGCAAGATTTGGGATCTACCGGAAGAAAGAATTAACATCCTTCCGGCTTTGAAACTTAGCTACCTCCATCTCCCTTCCTATTTGAGGAGATGTTTCGCTTACTTGTGCTATATTTCCCCAAGACTATGAAATCCAAGAGACGAGTTGATTCACTTGGTGGATTGCGAGAGGGCTTCGTTGAGGGAAAAGAAGGAAAGGACCGTTGGAATGCAGGTTTGAATTATTTTGACGAGCTAGTATCTAGATCGTTATTTCAAAATTCGAGTAGCAGTGAATTAAGATTCTTGATGCATGATCTTGTGAATGACCTGGCAAAGTTAGTGGCGGGTGCAACCCATTTTAGCTCGGGGAGCTTGAGTTTGAGCATGATAAAAAAATGCATCTTTAGCTCGTCATGCCTCATTCATTTCCAAGTATTCACATTGTACCGGAAAGATTCAAGATATATCATCAAATGAAGGGACTTAGGAGCTTCATATCGTTAAGGAAGCAATCTAGCCCTTATTCCTATTTGTCCCAGAAAGTGATATGTGACTTGTTGCAAGCATTGAAGTACTTGAGAGTGATTTCATTAAGTCACTACTGCATCGGAGAGGTACCAGATTGCATTGGCAAACTGAGGCACCTAAGGCACCTTAATCTGTCGTATACTAATATCAAAATGCTTCCAAAGTCAATTGTTGCATTGTACAATCTAGAGGCTTTGATGTTGCGGGGCTGTAATGAGCTTATCAAATTACCCGAAGATATGGAGAAACTGATCAATCTGAGATATCTCGATATTACCGACACTCCGAGCCTAATAGGGATGCCACTGAATATAGGTAATTTGGTAGGTCTTGAGATGTTGTCGAAGTTTGTAGTGGGAACGGAAAATGGCTCGAGATTGAAGGAGTTAAAAAATCTGGAGAACCTTAGAGGGGAATTATGCATCTCTGATTTGCATATGGTTCAAGAAGCCAGAGATGCCACGGATGCCAATTTATACACGAAGAAGGGAATATGCTGGTTAACCATGCAATGGTGTAGAGATTTTGAGAATTTCCGGGATGAAGAGCTTGAAGCAAAGGTCCTTGACTTACTTTGCCCTCACCAAAACCTTCAAATTCTCAAAATATTTTTTTATGGTGGCCTAGAATTCCCATCATGGTTAGGAAGTCCCCCACATGTTAACATAGTGCATTTACATTTACACGGGTGTCGTAGGGCCAAAACATTACCATCACTCGGGCAACTATCTTCGCTGAAAGAACTGTACATCGAAGGTCTAAATGCAATACGCAAGGTTGGATTTGAATTTTATGGAACTAGAAGTCCTTTTATGTCCTTAATAACTCTGGAATTCAAGGACATGCCATTATGGGAGGACTGGTCTCATTGGGTCGGCACTGAAGAAGTGGGAGTTTTGTTCCCTCGTCTTGAGCATCTCGTCATACAAGATTGCCCTATTTTGATCGGAAGATTGCCTAGTCAACTAAGCTCCCTCATAGAGCTTGAAATCAACTCCTGTCCTCGCATGGATGCCTCGCCCTCTATCACGAGCCTTCCATCTCTTGAGAAATTAGAGTTTGGAGGTTGTAATGAGGGGGTGCTGAAGAGTTTGGTGAACTTGACATCTCTAACCGCTCTTGTTGTAAAAGATGTTGCTAACCTAACTTGCTTAAGTCATGGGTTTACAAGCTCCTTGATCAAACTGGAGGAGTTGGAGATGAGAAGTTGTGAAAAGCTATTGTACTTGTGGCAAGACATAGATATAATTGGGAATCTTGCTTGCCTGAAGAGGTTAGTCGTCCATAATTGTTTGGAATTCATATATTTTGGGGCTGGAGAAGGAGATATAGAGCTGCCCATCAACCTCGAGACTATCATATTGACAAATTGCGTCAATTTAGAGAAGCTCCCAAGCAAAATGCATACCCTCTCCTCTCTTATAAACTTGATGGTCGGTAACTGTCCAAAACTCGTGTCTTTCCCCGAAACAGGTATACCAACATCGGTGATATCATTAAATGTCGAACGCTGCAATATGTTGCAATCTTTACCCAGAGGATTAAGTATTCATCCGGATGAACCAAGCAGTGGCAACAGCAGCAATAGCAATAACCGCATTGACATGACGTCTTGTCTGCAAGAGTTAACAATTGACGAATGCAATTCTCTACCAGCTTCTCTATTTAGCGAGGGTAGATTTTTACCTGCGACCCTCAAGACACTTGAGATTTCTTACTGCAATGGAGTGGAGTCGCTCGCGGAGATAAATGTAGATTGTCTTCGGTCGCTTCAAGAGATTGAAATTTGGTATTGCGAGAATTTGAGAAGTTTACCTCCGTGCCTGCACACACTATCCCATCTCACTTCCTTGGCATTGGTCAACTGTCCTGCACTGGAGCTAGAGTGCTTCCCTCCTCTTCCTCTCAGCATCTCGAGATTTTCTCTTTATAATTGTCCGAAGATAAAATCGTTACCTAATCAGTTGTATCAACTTCCATGTCTCCGTGAATTCGAAATTTCAGGGTGTGAGAGTATTGCGTGCTTTCCCCACGGAGGATTGCCGCCCCAGCTACAGGAACTTGAAGTAAGGGGATGCGGGAATATGAAGCAGCCGGTGAGGGAGTGGCTTACCCCCCTCACCTCCCTTCAATCTCTGCATATCGACGGCAGGGTGGGAGGAGTGGGAGAGGAGAAGGATCTTCGGCTTCCGCTCCCTTCCTCTCTGCTCGATCTCTGTATGCGGGACATGGGGAAGGTGGAAAGACTGTCCAGCAGTCTCCCTCCCTCTCTACAGATGTTATCGTTCAAAAATTGCCCGAAGCTGAGGGAGTTGCCCCAGGATGGCCTCCCTCCCTCCCTAAAGAATCTCTGGATCCGTGGATGTGGGATTCTGGTGGAGCGATGCAAGAAAGGGACCGGCCGCTATTGGCCCCTCATCCGCGAAATCCCGCTGGTTTCATTAACCGGTGATGACCCATCGGAGTCAATTACTTAAAAGGAGGATTCAGGCTCGAATGCTGTTATATGCGGGGAAGAGATTGGGGGAGGGGGGGGATTTTAATATTATCTGAGCTTTGGCTTCTTTTTTTGGAAAAGGGAATTCCGTATTTTAATTATTATTTTAGAAGATTTTAGTAGTAGTAAGCCTGAAGAAGCAGCAGCAGCTGCTTTTGGGCGTAACCATCACCATCCCAATCACCGCCTCTCTCCGCTCTCCTCCTCTCGATCTCGCGAAGATTTCGATGGCCCTTCGGGGTAAAAACCAGGTATTTGATTTCAACTCGCTGTCAATTTCTCTCCTCAGATTTGGTACCGGTTCCCCCCCTCTCCATTGAAATGCTTTCTTCCCCCCGTGATCTCATCGGTCCGGCACAAATTGTCGTGAAAAAATCCCGGGGATGTTGTCGACGGGCTGATTTTTTTTTTTATTTTTTATTTTGGCATTCCACCAGTTTTTCTGCGCTCCCTCATCCACCAATTCTTTTGTCATCGCTCATTACCCAAGATTCTCTCTCAATCCTGCTTGCCTTGCAGATTACACTGGAATTCCCATTGGTGAAGTTTGGTCGGTACCCTTTCCTTCGCCATCGCCGCCTCACCGGTATTTAAGTCTTAGGAGGAGAAGATGCTGGAGGGGTTGACCCTGGACGTGAGATTGCTCCTCATTGTAGAGACGAAGAAGAAGGGTCCATGCCACTGCAGCATAGCTTTCTTGTTAACATCTCGGACTTTCGTGGAAGCTTTTCCCTTGATCAGTTGGTTCTCGAATTACTCGCGGGGATCGAGGTATGTACGTGTTCTCTTTCCCTGTTCAATAAGTGTCTTGTTTTTCCCCGTGATGTTCGATCGGCTAGATGAATCTAAAATCTGGACATGATTTATGTGATGAATAAATAGCAAAGACAAAGTTTAAAAATGTTTGAAAGTTGCATCGCATCGAAAAAGGGTGGATCAAAACTTCAGGATGGATAGAGCAAAGTTCATGTTATGTTAATGGCAGTTAAGGTGCTTTAAATCATCTTTCCTGTTTTAGTCTGGACACTCCATTTGAACACATTTACTAAGTTGTGGAATGTATTCGACTATCTTCTCTGATTCTGATACGCGAAAATTACTCTGGCAGCATTCACCATAAGTGGAAGGAACTCGATATTAACTTTCTGTCTGCATCTACCGGTTCAAAGTACTTATTCCCACCCACGCAATCTTCTCATTTCTGAGCATACTGTGACGCACATCCAGATCTATGGGGGAAACAGATTTGTTGTGCCTCAACCCTTCCATTCCAGCATTTTACTCACCATCCAAGACTGAGGAATGGTTTAGTCGGTTTGAGTACAGACACAAATGAAGGCGTTTCGCGGACTGGTTAGCTCTCAATGAAATCTTTGCCCAAAGTTCATTTTGATAACTATTCATGTTCTGCTTCATGGATTCAAAGATGCATAGCTCTGGATTCAATCAACACTTTCTTTGGATGAAAGACTGTCCAGCAGTCTCCCTCCCTCTCTCAAGAGATTAAGGATCACTAATTGCCCGAAGCTGAGGGAGTTGCCCCAGGATGGCCTCCCTCCCTCCCTTGAAGAACTCTCGATCTTTGGATGCGAGATTCTGGAGGAGCGATGCAAGAAAGGGACCGGCCGCTATTGGCCCCTCATCCGCGAAATCCCGCTGGTCGTATTTGGCGATGATTACACATTGGAGTCAATTACTTAAAAGGGCGATTCAGACTCGAATGCTATTATATGCGGGGAATCGATAGGGGGGGTTTTAATATTATCTGAGCTTTGGCTTTTTTTGGGAAAAGGGGGTTCCGTATTTTAATTATTATTTTAGAAGATTTTAGCAGTAGTAAAGCTTGAAGAAGAAGCAGCTACTTTTGGGCGTATAGCCATCACCATCCCAATCACCGCCTCTCTCCGCTTCTTCTTCGGCTCTCCTCCTCTCGATGGCCCTTCGGGGTAAAAACCAGGTATTTGATTTCAACTCGCTGTCAAATTCTCTCCTCAGATTTGGCACCGGTTCCCCCCCTCTCCATTGAAATGCTTTCTTCCCCCCGTGATCTCATCGGTCCGGCGTAAATTGTCGTGAAAAAATCCCGGGGATGTTGTCGACCGGCTGATTTTTTTTATTTTTTTTTGCATTCCACCAGTTTTTCTGCGCTCCCTCATCCACCAATTCTTTTGTCATCGCCTCATTACCCAAGATTCTCTCTCAATCCTGCTTGCCTTGCAGATTACACTGGAATTCCCATTGGTGAAGTTTGGTCGGTACCCTTTCCTTCGCCATCGCCGCCTCACCGGTATTTAAGTCTTAGTAGGAGAAGATGCTGAAGGGGGTTGACCCTGGACGTGAGATTGCTCCTCATTGTAGAGATGAAGAAGAAGGGTACATGCCACTGCAGCCTAGCTTTCTTGTTAAGATCTCGGCTTTCGTGGAAGCTTTTCCGTGATCAGTTGGTTCTCGAATTACTCGCGGGGATCGGTATGTACGTGTTCTCTTTCCCTGTTCAATAAGTGTCTTGTTTTTCCCCGTGATGTTCGATCGGCTAGATGAATCTAAAATCTGGACATGATTTATGTGATGAATAAATAGCAAAGACGAAGTTTGAAAATGTTTGAAAGTTGGGTCTCATTGTAAAAGGGTAGCTCAGAAGTCAGAACTTCATATGGATAGAGCAAGTTCATGTCATGTTAATGGCAGTTAAGGTGCTTTGAATCCTCTTTCCTGTTTTATTCTGGACACTCCATTTGATCACATTTACTAAGTTGCGGAATGTACCCGACTAATTTCGCTAATATCTCTTATTCTGATATACGAAAATTACTATTGCGGCATTCACCAGAAGTGGAAGCAACTCAGTATTGACTTTCTGTCTGCATTTACAGATACAACATCGAGATCTATGGGGGAAACAGATTTATTGCACCTCAACCCTTCCGTTCCAGCATTTTACTCACCATCCAAGACTGAGGAATGGTTTAGTCGCTTTGAGTGCAGACACAAATGAAGGCGTTTTGCGTCCTGGATAGCACTCAATGAAATCTTTACCCATTGTTCATTTTGATAAGTATTCGTATTCTGCTTCATGGAATCAAAGATGGATAGCCCCGGAGTTGCTGGCTTTCTTGTTAACATCTCCACTTTGGTGAAAGCTTTTCCATGATTTTTTGTTGGTTCTCGAATTACTGGCAGGGATAGTGGTATGCCTGTGTTCTCTTTCCCTGTTCAATAAATGTCTTGTTTTTCCCCGGATGTTCGATCTGCTAGATGAATCTAAAGTCTGGACATGATTTATATGATGAATAAATAGCAAAGACGAGCTTGAAAAATGTTTGAAAGTTGCATTGCATCGAAGAAGTATGGCTCAGAACTTCAGGATGGATAGAGCAAGTTCATTTCATGTTAATGGGTACTCCAAATCCTCTTTCCTGTTTTAGTCTGGAAACTCCATTTGGACACATTTACTAAGTTGTGGAATGTACCTGACTAATTTCCCTTATATCTTTGATTCTGATATGCGAAAATTACTTTTGCAGCATTCACCAAAAGTGGAAGGAACTCGGTATTAACTTTCTGTCTGCATTTACAGAGACAACATCGAGATCTATGGGGGAAACAGATTTATTGCACCTCAACCCTTCCATTCCAGCATTTTACTCACCATCCAAGACTACGGAATGGTTTAGTCGCTTTGAGTGCAGACACAAATGAAGGCGTTTTGCGTCCTGGATAGCACTCAATGAAATCTTTGCCCATTGTTCATTTCGATAAGTATTCGTATTCTGCTTCATGGAATCAAAGATGCATAGCCCTGGAGTTGCTGGTTGGCAAAGTTTAAAGGGTGAGTAGATTTGTTTCTGCTTTTACTTTTGACTGGCTGTTTAAGAGGCGGGTAATGATCATGGGGAACAATCAGAATCCCAAAAGAATCTCTTCTGAAGGATTAGCAAATTGTCCGCATTCTACTTGTTTTGTTGAGATTCCAGCAAATTATCCGCATTCTATTTGTTCATTTCTAGCATTGTATCAAAACACATGCCAATGGTTCAAAATTTATGGTCTGTCATGTCGCTTGTTATCATTTACCTAGTTATCCCATTGACGTGATTATGTCCACATTCTGTTGTAAGTGTGTAAGGCTGCAGTTCTACGCAAGGGGAGTGTTAAGTTATACATTATATATACATTGTTTGGCGCGTTTCCTAACAGCTTAAGCTTTTAAAAAATGCATTTGTCTAATATGCAGCAATCTAATCAAACAGCATGATCAATCAGCCAACCCCAACCCTATGTTCTTGTTTGGTTCTTTCTTCTAGTTATTTTGGATGGTCTGAAAGACTTTTAGACAATCTCATAAATCATCAAATTACAACAAGATTTAAAGCTTGGACAGTTAAAAGCCGCTCATAGGCCGATGACCTTCAGCTTATTAATCTGTTATTTATAGTCTGGTTGACTATTAGTGTCAACTCTTTTTGCTGTCCAAGAAAGTAACTGAAATGGTTGAGCGAAACTATAGTGCTTTCCTTTGGATGGGAAATTCCGATGCCAAAGAGGGAGCAAAAGTTACATGGGACACTGTCTGTCTTCCTAAGCAGTTTGGAGGCTTGGCATTCGAAGACTGGATTTGGGAAATCTTGCTTGTATTTTGAAGTGTCTGTGAAGTATGTTGTTGAGATGTAGGTCTCTATGTTTTGACTTGTTGTATGGGGAGCATCTTGACTGTAAGCCGGATGCTGCTTATTATGCTTGGAAGAAGTTATTAAGAGTCCGGAAAACTTTGAATGCCATATTAGATATAGAGTGGGTAATGGAGATTATTTCTCTTTGGTATGACTTGTGGCACCATGCTTGGATCTCACCGGATCATTTCTCACGGAGAATAACTCATGACTCTTCTCTTCCTCTGCAGGCCAAAGTATCTGCTGTAATTTGTAACTCTCATTGGAAGTGGTCCGCTGCTAGGTCTGAAGAGTCGATTCCCTTCCAAGCTGCAGTTTGTGGTGTGATTTTCCCAGTTCCTCAGCTGCAGACAAAGTAGTATGAACAGCTTCTTTAAATGGTTGCCTTAACTCTTTTGTTGCTTGGGAAATTGTCAGAAATAAGAGTGCCAATGTTGACTGGCACAAACTTGTGTGGTCCTCCCCTAATGTGCCAAGATCTGGCTTTATTTCTTGTTTAGTCATATGCGTGATAAACTCCCCCCCTTTGAGAGGATTAACAGTTCTTCTGTTGGGAGAACAAGATCTCTCTACTTGTTCTGTAATCTAAGCATTGAATCTCGCTCTCATATAATTTTGGAGTGGAGTTTCTCTAATGAAGAACAGAGGAAGGTCTTAATTCTGTCAAACTAATCATTGAATCTCACTATCATCTAGTTCTCGACCTTTAATGTAATCAACATTGTCGAGTTCTCTCTTAAGCATAGTTTTGAGTGTTGCCTTGGTCTCAAAATAAGATTGGCACCAATAAGCATTGTAGGTTGTGTCTTGCTTGGAATCTAAGTTTGTGAAAACTATCTAGCTAGAGTAAGGTTTGTTTGAGATTGTGCTTATTATCGTTTATTGTTGTGTAAAGTTGCAGTGTTTTGCTCTGAAAACTATCCAGTGACAGCAGACAGATGTCAACTTCAACCCTCCTCTTTTCGGGTCCAATTTTCATGAGGTCTAGGTACTGACCTTTGCATTTCTCCAGATAGTTATTGGAGGAAGAAGCACAATCGATGAAAAGGAGTTGTTATAAGATTAAAACGAGAAATGTATATTGACTAAGATTCCAAGAGAGACTTAACAACAATTTTTTTTGGCATTCATGGTAATTTCACTCGGTTACATCCGTAGGAAATTCAACCTCTAAATTTGGACTTTTTCTTGTAGATATTCGCCATAATATCATCATCATTTCAAAAAAGGAATTATTTGGAATGGTCGATGGTGTTTGTGCTTCGGACTTTACTTGTCAAAGCAAATTTGCTGATGAAGACCTCTTCCAAGAAGCAGCCCCAGTCTTTGACAAGAATATCCAACTCATGAAGCCCTTTTCTCCTTTTGCCTATTTCTTTAGTACCATTGATGTTTAGGGAGTCTTATAAAGAATCTATGGACTTCTATGAACTTATTTAGTATTGCAGCAGTCGAGCAGAGTAATTGATGTTAATCAACAACAGCTACCTGACTTCATGGGAATCGTCCAGTCTTACGACTATTCAAAACATATCGCGATTGTCGTTAATTGATAGAATTGGTTAAAAAAGGTTCTCACTTTGCCTTGAGCGGTCTTTCACTTTCGATAATTATAAAGTCCTTGATATGGATGGGCGATGTCTCTAGTTTCAAAATAAGATTGAGCGTAGTGATTTAACTGCTCATGCTTCAAGCTATTGATCGTCTTATGCATTATTGTACTTCTACGATATGTTATTCCTTCCAGCTTTGACGATGACCCAAGATA